ATAGAATCATTAATTACGTATACAAACCTTAAAAAAAACGTATCATTTCCTTATTTCGATTTCTTATAGGGTATAATGAGTCTTGATCCTCTATTTCATTATTGGGTCTTGGTAAGATGCCACTGCCTATTATCTGAACATATTGATTGATCCCTAAGCTAGATTAATACATAAGTTCCTGAGCTTATTTAGTTTGTCAATAGTATCCAAGCATTCAGATGAACAAACAAGGAATTTTATTTGAATAACAACTCTAAGGATATTAATGAAAATACAAAAGCATAATCAAATTTTGTATTATTCAATACTAACTGCATTAAGTTAATCTTTTAAAACTGCTAAAACATTACATGACGTTAGTGATACCTGATGAAATTACCTTTCTTAATATGATAAAATTGATGAAACCGAAATGACGAAACTAGTTTTTTATTAATAATGAAATTATTTTACTTAATTACCAAAATTATATTTAACTTAATCTAAATTCCTTGAATTAAAAACATTAAAAATTATAATAATTTTATATTTATTCATATAAAAATATTAAAGAGACAAAACTTTTGACGAAATTACAATTTTTCAAAAAAGAGTTTAGTCAGGTATCATTACATGATGTTGAGGAATTTTGAAAATAACATAGAAGCATGTATCTTGATGATCATCTAAAAATAATATCAAAAGAAATTTAAGTTGCAGATTGCATATTACTATATAAATTATATGAATTGACATTTTTCTACAGCTCAAGTATGTTGTCAATAAATCCAAAGAAGAGACAATTCACTCTGATCTTATTGGAAAAAGATGGTACCAGATCCTAAAGAACGAATTGGAGTCTAAGAGAGAGGATACATCAGAGCCCACAAAAAAGGTATTGACTCAAAAATAACAGTGACATCAAATAAGATATAGAAGAGATATCCTAGACTATTCTGAACAAGAATCTGATCAAGAATATAAGCCTGAAAAAGTACGCAATATGCCATATTGATCCTTAGAGCTCTATGCTAGTTCATATATCAACTTTGAAATTTTGTATTTTAAAGAGTACACATAACACGGCCTGATTTATGATCACATTATGCAGGTAAGGATGATAAACCAAAGATTAATAACGGAAAATTTGAGAAATAAGAAGTGTTATTAGGCAATATATACATTGAATCTTATAAATACTTTAATCTAATTATCATATTAGGTTTGATTTCTCTTACAGGAAAATTATGATGAGGAAACTGAATTGTTTTTCAAACCCTCTGATATATTAACAATTCAAGAGTTAGTTACAAAATCTATTACAAATATGACTGAGGAATTGGTAGTTAAATTGTTAAGATGGTAATAGAATAATCTTAAACAATTATATCATGGAGTTCATCGTCCAGAAGAACAAAATATTTAATAATCTTCTATCTGTTTTATAATAATAAAAGAATTAATCCTATCTTGATTTTCTAACAGCAAATAAAATTTCTAAAATCTGGTCAGGTATCATCTTCAAATTTGTAAAAATTACAACTCCGCATGAATTGATAAGTTTTGTGGATGAAAATAAAAGGTTTATAAATTGAATTTTTTTTATAATGATTTAAATAAATCACTCTTATTTTGATTTATAATACATTGTTAGAAATTTCAATGGGATTCTCAGGAAGAAATCGCAAGATTCATTAAATTATTTGCTGTGAAACTGAATGGAAGTTTATTGAATAAAACATTTTTCAGATTATTAGAAGAATATGCCACTTGGAATCTTTTAGTAGATGTGAATAAAATGAATAAAAGAATATTCATTGTAGATTGTATTAGACCACTTTTTAATAAGACTATCTATTACTTAACTATGTCATAATTCACTCATAGTATGAGATTATTCTGTGGTTGATTTTTGTAAAAAAAGGACTAATTTATGATTGTTTTATTCCTATAGGATCGATATAATGTCAGATGCATCTAAATTACACTGAGATCATAGTAGAGTATCTGATTATATGTTGAAAAATAAAGATAAGATCTGTATAGGTATTTTTTTGCAAAATAACAAGCCTCAAATTTCAGGATGAGAAGCATTAAGTTTATTAGAATATTTACTATAGTTCTATACATGTCAAGAACTCCATAGATTTTGACATAAAACAATGAGAAATGCATCCAGATGAAATAAACCAAATTGTCATTTTTATCAATGATTACAAATAGAAGTATATGTTATAACATTGTATTATCCCAGAATATATTTACTTGTTGAGGTGAAATCGTGCACTATACTGAAAACTATTAGAGATCTGGGATCACTTTATAAAGCTTCACCAAATATTGATAAGTATTCAGATTAGTTTTTTTTTCTTGATATTTTGATAACCATATATTGTATGTTTGTATGCTAACTGCAAACTATAACTTAGAAGAATACGATAGATTTGTTGGGTGAGAGAAGCAGTATCACATTGCTTCAAACAAACTATTCAAAATGGTTATGTCTAACTGCTGATACTAAAGATGGTTCCCATAATTATTTTTAAAATTTTTAACTAGTTGCAACTTAAGTTGCAACACTTTGAGTTGCAA